TGCCCAGTAGCATCCTTCACGAGCCTCCTCCACAGAGGCCGATCTTGACACCGCTGGTACCAGTCATCGGCAAGTCCACTCAGCTCCACGTCCTCCTGTACCACGTCACTCCATCTCTTCTCTAGCCCGTGCCGCGCCCGTTTAGCCCCCTCGATCCGGCCGAACAAAAGCTGTTTTGGCATGCGGTGGCTGGGCATGCGGGCTACATGACCCAGCCAACGCAGCCTTGCCTGCTGGAGGAGCTCACCGATGGGACCGTGCCCAGATCTTTCAAGGATTTGTGAGCTCCTCACACAATCCAGCCTGGTTAAACCCAGGATGGATCGTAGGCAGGCCAGCCTAAATGTTTCTAACCGGCAAAGATGTTCCATTTGGGGGGGTCCACGTTTCGCAAACATAGAGAAGGGAGGGAATGACCGTGGCTGAGAATACCTGAAGCTTAGTGCGGAGCGACAGACCAGGTAGCTTCCACACAGCGTTACGCAACCGATGAAAAGATATTGCCACTCGATTGATTTGGAGTGAGACCTCTGCTGTTAAACTGGAGCCGGTCATAAGCACACTGCCCAGGTATGGGAAACTCTCCACTCTCTCCACAACTGCCCCATCACCGATTGGGAGTTGTGTACAAAATACCCAGGCAGGTGCTTAGTTTTGGTGGGGTTGATCATAAGGCCCCACCTCTTAGTGGCACGCTCCAGTCTCAGCAGCAGCGTCTCCAACTCCTCCTCTGAATGAGCGGCTATTACCAAATCATCGGCATACACAACGTGGTTGACCAATAGGGAGCCATCCCTTGACCGCACCCGGGCATCGATCAGCCTCCCATTATATCTGTACCATATGGAGATTCCCCCGGTACAGCTATTGAAGGCTTCACAAACTACGTGGTGAAAATAGATGTTAAATAATGTGGGTGCCAGAGGACATCCCTGTCGCACCCCAAGGTGTACAGGGAATGGCTCTAACTCCCGGCCACGTAGTTTTACCCGGGCCCGCTCACCATCATGAAGGTCCTTAATGATCGTGAGCAGAGGGTCAGGTACTCCAAAAGCACGAAGAACAACCCAGAGCCCAGGCCTACTGATGGTATCATAGGCCTTGACCAGGTCAATAAAGCAGAGATGTAGGTCTTGCTGGAATTCCCTACACATCTGCTATTGCAGACAGACAAAAAATATGGCATCCGTGCAGGACCGCCCTTTCCTGAAACCGCATTGGGGCTCCGCAAATCTCTTCTCAGCGTGCCTGGCAAGGCGATGTTGAATAAACCTTGACAGGACCTTTCCCGGCACACTGAGGAGTGAGATGCCCCTGTAGTTGTTACAGTCTGTGCGGATCTCCCTTCTTAAAGAGGGGGACCACCAGAGCATCCTTCCAATCCTGCGGAACCTGTCCAGTGGTCCAGACTGTTGTTATGATGTCATATAGGGCAGTCTGTGCACAAATTCCACCCTCCCTCAGCATTTCGCTTGGGAGATCATCTCTGCCCGCTGCCTTTCCTGATCTCAGACTCCGGATCGCCTTCAGTACTTCCTCAACAGATGGCACCTCAGCCAGCCACTCACAGTTGGTGACTTCTTCCAATATTTGAGGCACCGCAGCCTCAGCAGGGTCATCCCCACTTTGTGCCACGATGTCTTCCTGGCTGAGGGATTTCCCCTCTCCCAGGACCTCACAGAAATACTCAGCAAATCTGCAAACCTGTTCCTGGGGGTCGGAGATTGGATCACCGTTTTTTCCCCTAATGATGATAATAGGTGTGGTGCTGCAGGTTAATTTTTTTGATGGAGTTAAATAGAGATTTGTGATCACGGGCCACTGAGGCAGACTCCATCTCCTCAGCAACCCGCGACCACCACCCATCCTTGCAGCACCTCACGGCTCTCCGAACCTCCGAGCGAAGGCTGCGGTAAGCCTCCTCATTCTCTGACGTGGGATTCTGCAGCCGATGACAATGGGCCTGTCGCTATTTCTCAACCATCCTGAACACCTCCTCTGTCAGCCAGGGTCTCTGGGGACGTCTGGACCGCGTTCCAAAAGCAGCCATTGCAGCTGCATGAGTCACAATCCTAAACCTCGCCCATTTACCCTCGACATCAGGAGGAGTGGGAGACGATGCCAATACCAGCCGTAAGCGATGATGAAATTATCGCTTGCAACTTTCATCAGATAACTGAGACCAGGCCACTTTAGTTTAGAATGGGGTCCTGGGTGTACACCCACTGCCGGAGTGGAAGAATGGCAGGCGCATCTTACAGATGACAAGTCGATTGTCAGAGGGCAGATCAGCTCCACGGTAGGCCCTGGTGTCAAGGACATGGGGTCGCATCCGCTGGTCCGTCACTATGTAGTCCAGCAGATGTTCTTGCTTGGACCCGGCATGCATCCATGATGTTGTGTGGATGCGCCGATGCCGGAACAGCGTGTTGGTAATTACAAGCCCATGGGCTGCACAAAAATCCAGCAGCCTCCTACCGTTGTTATTGAGCTGATCTGGCCCATGCCCTCCAATCATTCCAGACCAGGTGCCAGCATCATGACCAACTCGGGCATTGAAGTCACCCAACAAGATGACTCTATCCCGAGGGGCCACTTTAGCCAGCACCTGTGATAGGAGGTCATAGAAGGCATCTGACTCATCGGCTTTGCCTGTATCTTTCCACGGATGTTCGTCTTCGGTGGGGGCATAAGTAACCACGACCACCGTCCTCGCCTCCGGTTGATGGGAAGGCGAGCCAAAAGTAGCCTGGGGCTTACAGCTTCCCACACCTCACCGCCACGCTCCCACGCCCCCTGCATTCTTTTGTTCAAAAGAAGAGCCACACCCTGTTGTTTGGCAGTCTGCTGCCCGGAGTAGAGGACTGTCCACCCCTCATGGTGGCAGGAGCCAGAACCGGTCCACCGGACCTCCTGAATGCCACAGAGATCCAGGTGGTACCGGTCCAGCTCCCGACAGAGGAGTGGCAGCCTCTCCTCCGCAGTGAGCGTTCGAACATTCCACGTGGCCATCCGTAATGGCTTTTCCTTGTTACTGGAGGAGCCCCGAGGGTAGAGATTCAATCTCCTGGCTCCACCATTTGGGGTTTGGCCAGGAGACGTCATAGACGCCTGTCCGCCCGGGGCCTCCGGCACAAGCTTATTAGTAAAGTTTTGTATTCGTAGTTTAGTGGTAATTAAGTGAAGGTGGAGGGGTTACCAGCCCCTCGCACCTGTCCAGAGCCCCCGTTTAGCCACTGTGGTGGACACAGACGCCATGAGGGGAGGAGCCAATCGGAATTGGACCTCCCCCCACAGCACTGTCCACGACAGAGTTGCCCGTCCGGCACCGCGAGGAGGTAGGGGGTTGTTTTGCCAGACGTACACACACACACGTACACACACACACGTACACACATCTACACACGTACACACGTACACACACGTACACACACACGTACACACACACACGTACACACACTATTCAGAGGCGCGTCATTCATAATGCTCAGGTGGTTGGATGCTTCTGGGGTCAGATCGCTGACGCAGCAACCGCGGAGTTCCTGGAATTCCATTCCAGATGTGAGCCCTGTAAGGGGTTGGGTGTGACCCATAGACACACACAGAGACCCATAGACACACAGAGACCCATAGACATACACAGAGACCCATAGAGACACAGAGACCCATTGACACACACAGAGATCCATAGATAACACACAGAGACCCATAGATAACAAAGATCCCCCGTATAGCCTTAACAGACTGTAGGGGCAAGTGCTGTTAGCGAGCACCTATGAAGGCCGGAACGGTACACGAGGGGGTGGGTGGCCAGCACCACGCCCGACCGCCTTTGTCTCCCTAGTGGCAATGTTTACACACCGCACCAGGTACTTATTTGAGGCTGAGTCGACCTAGGGGAGGCCCGGGACCGGTTCAGATAATCGTCACTGGTGTTGGCCGTGAGCGGGAATCGAACCCGGGTCGCCAGGTTCATAGCGCAGCGTGCTAACCGCTACACATAGACACACACAGAGACCCATAGACACACACAGAGACCCATAGACACACAGAGACCCATAGACACACAGAGACCCATAGACACACATAAGCCAGTTCGTTGCGCTATTATTTCTGATGGTCAGGTCGCTTCTGAAAGAGAGCTCCACAGCTCGGTGGGCCTTAACTGGTAACATCAAAATAATAGTTTAGTTTTAGTATGGGTCTCGATGAGTATGGGTCTCTATGGGCTTCTGTGGGTGTCTGTGGATCTCTATGGGTCTATATGAGTCTGGTCTATGAGTCTCCCTATGCATAGCTCTGCGTACGATACCTGGAGCGGTGGTGTGGAGTAAACATCGACAATGGGGAGACAAAGGCGGCCGGGCGTGGTGATGGCCACCCACCCCCTCGTGTGCCACAGTGCCGGTAGCCTTCATAGGCGCTGTTACTCACTAACTGGACTTGCCCCGACATTCTATTGTTTCATTTTTATTGAATCTCTGCAGTCACGAAAGCTTTAAATCGAAATTTAGTACGGTACACTTCATTAAAGCGTGTTTTAAAAAAAGTTTAAAAAATATTACTTATTAATCCCTCACATTAACATTAGCTAGCCCGCCCATGCTGCTGACACTTGGGCTATGCCCATTTTTAAACCTTCAAAACAGTTTGCCTTTAGAAGCCAACCCCCTTTTTCTGATGACGACCACTTGTGTTGCGATCGAAACGTCGTAGTTTTGTGTTATTTTCTTTGAACCTATCTACCTAACTTTACTGAAAGACCCAAAGAATCATCATCACCACGTGGAAATGTCTAGCAGCCAAATACTCTAAAGGCGTGATGTTGATTCAAAATTTTCGAGGGAAAAATCGGAGGACCCAGAGTTAAATCCACGAGACCACAGGGAAAACATGAAATCTCCAAATATACAACAGGTGTCATGGTTGGGATCAAATCCACAACCTCCTGTATACCAGGCGAGGTAGTTAACATCTCCTCGCCACCGTGGTGTTAGGGCTTTGATCGAACCCACGATCTCCTGTATACCAGGCGAGGTAGTTAACATCTCCTCGCCACCGTAGCACCCCTAATGCGACTGTCATCAGTGTAACGTTCTTACCCCGTGGCCCTACTGGATCATCTGTGAAAAAGAGCTTCATAGCCCATCGAATTCCTCCATTATAAGTAAATACATAAATTCTGATTCTGAGATTCTGATTTATCCGCAGGAACGGTGTTCACTGACAGCGCGGGGGTTGGGGATGGCTCGGAGTCCGGAGTGCAGCGCCAAGGAAGAACACCACGTGGTGAGTTCAATAGCAGGTCATGGTCAACTCGAATTCATCACCACCACCATCATCGTCACCATCACCACCATCATCGTCACCACCAACATCATCATCATCATCACCAACTTCATCATTGTCACCACCACAGTCATCACCACAACCACCATCATCATCACCACCATCACAATCACCGCCATCATCATCACAACCACCATCATCATCATCACTATCATCACCACCATCATCGTCACAACCAACATCATCACCACCAACATCACCATAGTCATCATCACCGTTATCATCATCACCACCATCGTCATCACCACCCCCACCGTCATCATCACCACCATTATCATCACTAGTTAACTATTAACTGTGCAGTGACAAGAGCTATAGAGCGCCCGGGAACGAATGATAAATACATAACAATCAAAAGAAATTTCGATTTAAAGCTTTCGTGACTGCAATGATTCATCTTCTTTGGTTCTTTCGGTAAAGTCACGTAGAATGAGAATAAAATAATAAATTGATAAAATAAAATAACACAATAATATTCTCACGACGTTTCGGCCACAACACAAGCGGCCTTCATCAGGTGAAGGGACGAGACTGTCTGGTAGGACAGCGCTGGAGTGAAAGAGCCACGTTCAGATCACGGCCTTTAAGCTGTGTGAGAGGAACAAAGCGCCTTGACAAAGGAATTAGCATATAATTTAGCATTGAAATGGCTGAATGATTAGCTTGTGACTGGTCACAGAAATAGCTATGTTAAAAGTTAAAGCATACACATCCGCAAGGGGTGCCTCTGCGGATGTGTATGCTTTAACTTTAACATAGCTATTTCTGTTACCAGTCACAAGCTAATCATTCAGCCATTTCAATGCTAAATTATATGCTAATTCCTTTGTCAAGGCGCTTTGTTCCTCTCACACAGCTTAAAGGCCGTGATCTGAACGTGGCTCTTTCACTCCAGCGCTGTCCTACCAGACAGTCTCGTCCCTTCACCTGATGAAGGCCGCTTGTGTTGTGGCTGAAACGTCGTGAGAATATTATTGTGTTCTTTTATTTTATCAATTTATTATTTTATTCTCATTCTACGTGACTTTACCGAAAGAACCAAAGAAGATGAATCAAAAGAAAGCTAATTTAGTGATCTTCTAACACAAATAATGCTCAAGCAAGAATCGTAGTAGCATTAAATAACCGTTTTATTTTTCAAAAAAGTAATCCATTATTTAACTACAAAACGTGACATCTAACTAATGTAATCGGCCGGCCCTATCCATCTCCTCCCGTGATCGTTACGAGGGGACAAGCCGGTTAATAAGTAATATTTTTTAAAAAACTTTTAAAAAACACACGCTTTAATGAAATGTACCGTACTAGTAATGGCAGAACTTCACGACTCCAGGAAGTGGCCCCGAAACTTGCCACAACGTAAGGGGACCGTGGCCAGTTACAGCCAACGTCAGCTGACCGTGGACAATTAGACCCAAGCCAAAGCATAACAAAAAATAATGTTTAAAAATATGTTTTATGATAGAATATAGTATAGCCATCAGTGTGACATAAGTATACCAAGTTTGCAGTCGATACCACATTAAGAAGTGGGTTAGAATTGAGTTACACGATTTGAAGAAACAACAACAATAGAGTGAGTTAAATGAAAGCGTGTAGCACCAACAGCAACAATAGTAGATGATGAGTTCGGAGGGGATGAGTGGATAGTCTGCGATGTGTTCTGCTCTCCTTCTGAGATGACTCCACCACCAAGGCACAACCAGAGGGTTGTGTGACTGCAACTCTTTACTTCAAAGTGTTCTTCTGAGGAGCATTCGTGCATCTGTAATTATGACCGGATGCACGCCAAAAAACCCCAATTCACACCACCTCACTGCTCAGTACTGATGGTATTGAGTGCAAGTGTTAATATTCTAGAACCACACCCACATCACCGTATCTATTACATGATTAAAATCGTCTCTAAATATCAAACTCTTAACTGTGAATATAATTACTATACTCTTTGGTTCTATTCGGTAAAGTCACGTAGGTAAAAAATAAAACAACAAAAATCACGACGTTTCGGCCACAACACAAGTGGCCTTCATCAGGTGAAGGGACCAGACTGTCTCGAGGACAGCGCTAGAGCGAACACAGCCAAGCTCAGACCGCGACCTTTAAGCTGTGTGAGAAGAAACAGAGTGCCTTGACAAAGGAATTATCATAAAAAAATGCATTTTAATAGGTGGACTTAGCATGATGAAAGGTAGGGAGGGGATTGACCTGTGCAGGCTGGCGAGGGGGCACAGCAGCGTCCACATGCTGGTGGTGTGAAAAGGGGATTTCAAGAAGCTGCGAAAGTTTAGGGTACCACTACTTGAAAAATATACTGTACCATTGAAAAATTAGTTTAATGTTTGGTTAGATTTAGAACATCTTTCCAATGGTTGCTTAATTTGAAACCATCTTCTCGGTTGAAATTGTGTCTGTGTTTGTAGATCTGAATTGCCTCGTGAACAAATCTCTGATAAAAACCCGTGGGTTTGCAAATAACCTTGGTATCGGAGAAAATTATATTGTGATCACCCACAGCGTTGTAACAGTGATCAGCTACGGCAGAAGAATTCGTTCTGCCGTGTTTCAAATCTGATTTGTGCTCGCGAATTCGGTCAGAGACATGTCGCTTCGTCTCCCCGATATAGCAATCACCGCAGGTACAACTCAATTTGTAAACCCCGGGGTACTGTAAGTCAGGAATGACATCCTTCATGGATGGGATCAGATCACGAATTTTGTGTACTGTATTGAACTCGACCTGGATCTTGTGTTTGTTTAGAATTTTGGAAATCTTTTTAGTAACGCCTGCTATATGTGGTAGTGTGATGGTTTTGACCAGAGTATCAAGTGGTTGTTTCTGTATGGAGGGAGAAACAGCTTGGCGGATGGTACGGTCAGAGTATCCATTCCTTTTGAGGGCCAGGTGTACATGTTTTAATTCACTGGTCAGGTGGTGTTGGTCCGAAATGCAATGAGCCCTATGGTATAAAGTTTTGATGAGAGAATTATTCTAAGCTGGGTGGTGGTGGGAATCAGGCTTCAAGTAGGAATCCGTGTGGGTGGGTTTCCTGTAGACAGAATGCCCCAACGAGCCATCAGGTCTCCTCTCAAACAGAACATCCAAGAATGGTAGCCTGCCATCCTTCGCCACTTTCATGGTGAATTTGATGGCGGGATGTCTGGAATTGATGTGGTGTAGGAAAAGGTTCAGAGCTGGGAGGCCATGTGGCCAAATGACGAAAGTGTCATCCACATATCTCTTCCACAGGGAAGGTCTGAGGGTGGAAGTCTGGATGGCGTCCGATTCAAATTTCTCCATGAAAACATTGGCTATCACTGGTGACAAGGGGGAACCCATGGGAGTACCCTCATTTTGCTTGTAGAAGGAACCATTCCAAGTAAAGTAGGTGTTGGTGAAGCAGTGCCTGACCAGAGTAGGTACCTCGGGGTTTAGTCCATGTTGCACCAAATTTTCAATTATATCAATGGTATCAGGTACCGGGACCTTGGTGAACAAGGAGACCACATCGAAGCTGACAAGGATATCGTCAGGGGACAGTACAACGTCCTTGACCATAGAAACAAATTGGGCCGAGTCAAGTACTGCTGAGGAGGTCTTTCCAGTGAAAGGTAGCAAGATATCCGACAGAAAACGTGTCAGCTTATAGGTAGGGGAGTTGATCGTGGATACAATGGGTCGTAATGGAGTGCCTTCCTTATGAATCTTTGGGAGACCATAGAATCTAGGTGGTCTTGCAGCAGAAGGTTTTAGGGAGGGACGTTTAGCTGGTTCGATTAGGGAGGTCGAACTTGTGATGATCTGGTTGATTTTAATAGTTAGGCTATTAGTAGGGTCATTTTTGATTTTTGAGTAACTACCATCATTGAGTAGGTCCTGAATTTTATTGTTGTATGAGTTTTTATCCATAATTACAGTGGCATTGCCTTTGTCGGCTGAGAGGATGACTATATCATATCTCTCTTTTAATTTCGCGAGTTCAGAGCGTTCATCGTTGCTGATGTTGCTAACGGGTTTCTTAGCATTCTTAAGAATAGTAGCTATTTCAGCTCTCGCGACGTCTGCTTGGATGTGTCCTATACCTTTGATGGCTACATCGACCTGATAAATGATATGAGCTTGTAGGAGAGTCCTACCTAAAGTATCGAGTTCAAAACGGAGTAGTCTTATCCTCTCTGAGATTAAAGAGAGGCTGGCCTTAAACAGAATCTGTTTAGAATTCGGTGAGGACACAGCAGCAGAAGTGAGTGTGAAAGCGATGGGTATTACCTTGTTGTCGCGGCATCTTTTGAGGAAGGTCAGCGTCTCGATGAGCTGTGACTTATTGTCCCGTTGTCTGTTAAAAGCTCTAACAGATAGGCGATAAACCTCCCCGTAGAGGCTATCAATTCTGGATTTGAAGCTTTCGTGACTGCAAGGATCCATACTCTTTGGTTCTATTCGGTAAAGTCACGTAGGTAAAAAATAAAACAACAAAAATCACGACGTTTTGGCCACAACACAAGCGGCCTTCATCAGGTGAAGGGACCAGACTGTCTCGAGGACAGCGCTGGAGTGAAACACAGCCAAGCTCAGACTGCGACCTTTAAGCTGTGTGAGAGTAATTAAGGTGCCTTGACAAAGGAATTAGCATGGAAGTTTGCATTTTTAATAGGCGGACTTAGCATGATGAAAGGTAGGGAGGGGGTTGACCTGTGCAGGCTGGCGAGGGGGCACGGCATCGTCCACATGCTGGTGGTGTGAAAAGGGGATTTTAAGCTGCGAAAGTTTAGGGTACCACTACTTGAAAAATATACTGTACCATTGAAAAATTAGTTTAATGTTTGGTTCGATTTAGAACATCTTTCCAATGGTTGCTTAATTTGAAACCATCTTCTCGGTTGAAATTGTGTCTGTGTTTGTAGATCTGGATTGCCTCGTGAACAAATCTCTGATAAAA